GACGTCGCTCGTACGTCCATGATGCATGCGGCTGCTCCCCATTTTCTGTGGCCGTTTGCGGTCAGGTACGCTGCGCACCAGATCAACCTCCACCCCAGGGTCTCTCGACCGGAGACCTCCCCAGCTCTGTTGTGGACGGGGAAGGTTGGCGATGCGTCGGCGTTCCGGGTCTGGGGATCTCGGGCGTTTGTTCGCGACCTGTCTGCGGACAAGCTGTCCCCTCGTGCTTCTCCCTGCGTCTTCCTCGGGTTCCCCCCCGACGCCCCTGGGTGGCAGTTTTACCACCCCACCTCTCGACGTGTTCTGTCCTCCCAGGACGTCACGTTCGACGAGTCGGTACCCTACTACCGCCTCTTCCCCTACCGCACTCCGTCCCTCCCCCCACCCCCCCTCTTCTTGGTACCAGGTCCCCCCCCAGTAGTCCCCCTCCCCCCTCCGGGTCCTGCCCCTTCAGGTGTGTCTCAGGTAGACGCGGTCGAGCCTGTCGAGGTCACTGGTGACTCCGGTGCTGCTGCGGGAGCTGAGCCTGGGGGTGCGGAGTCTAGGGGTGCTGAGCCTGGGGGTGCGGAGCCTGGGGGTGCGGAGTCTGGGGGTGCTGGGCCTGGGGGTGCTGAGCCTGGGGGTGCTGAGCCTGGGGGTGCTGTGTCTGGGGGTACTGAGCCTGGGGGTGCTGAGCCGGGAGGTGCCGAGCCTGGAGGTGCTGTGCCTGGGGGTGCTTCGTCTCACCGGGAGCCGCTCTCTCCACAGGAGCTGCGTGAGTGGTTTGCCCGGCGCTGGAGGCGTGCCGCTGGTGCTGGTGGTTCTTCGGCTGCGGAGGGCGCTGCTGCCACGCGTCCTGGCGGTGCTCGTCCTGTGGGTGCTGGAGCTGCTGGGTCTGAGTGTTCTCCTGGAGCTGGTTCTGCTGAGGACGTTGGCGCTGAGCCTGCGGTTGGTGGTCCGACTGACGGTGCTCCTGGTGCTGCTGCTGGAGGTTCTGGAGCTTCTGGTGGTTCTGCTGGAGGTGCTGCTGGAGTGGGTGCTCCTGCCGGGGGTGCTGGTGCTGTTCCTGCTGTTTCTGGCGTCGCCGCGCGGCCTCGACCGTACTTCGTTCCGCTCCTGCAGCAGGTTCTTGGTCTTACACCTCCTCCTCCTTCCTTAGAGGGTCCGCAGCCTGTCCGGTCACAGCCACAGCTTCAGCCTGCCTCCCCTTTGCCTGCTCCTTCTCCCTACGCTGGTCCGACTGGAGGTCTTACTGAGCGTCGTGAGCCTGCGTCTCGTCCTGCGTCGCCTGTTCGTACTGAGCGCGCTAGTGGTCGCGGGTCGCGTCAGCGTCCTCCTCCTGTCCCTGGCACGCACCGGATGTCACTGCGTCCGTCCACTGCTCCTCTGCGTGCCCCTTTGCCTTCTCCTCCTGCTTCCTCTCTTCCTGCTCTTGCCGACCCGGAGTCGGACTCTCTTCGTGCTGCCAGTCCTACTGTCACGCGTCTCCTTGCTACTGCTGTCACTGACCCTTCCTTCGAGTCGTCTGCTGCGTCTGCCCTTGTCACTGAGCTTGTCGACTTTGCTGCGCGCTGTCGTCTAGACTACGCTGCTCGTCTTGTAGCTGGGTCTGAGTCCGCCTGTCCTCCGTCCGTCGGGGGTGAGTGTGCCCTTGGCACGGACGTCCTAGAGGACAGGCAGGAGGAGTTCCAGTGTCTAGCCGCTGCTTCACCTCGTCTCGCGTCTGTACTGCTAACCCCTGAGGGAGACCCGGATGCACTAGACATCCCGACTCCGCGTTCTTACGCGGAGGCCGTAGAGGGTCCCTACTCCTCTCAGTGGCAGGCAGCTATGGATGCAGAGATGGCTTCCTGGAAGTCCACAGGCACCTACGTTGACGCGGTTCCCCCTCCTGGGGCGAACATCGTCAGTGGCATGTGGATCTTCAGGGTGAAGCGGCCGCCGGGCTCGCCGCCTGTCTTCAAGGCGCGTTACGTGGCTCGTGGCTTCAGTCAGCGGCAGGGAGTTGACTACTTTCAGACCTTCTCTCCCACCCCGAAGATGACCACTCTTCGGGTGCTGCTGCACATTGCCGCTCAGCGCGACTACGAGCTTCACTCTCTCGACTTCAGCACTGCGTTCCTGCAGGGTAGCCTGCACGAGGAGATCTGGCTGCGCCGTCCGCCTGGCTTCACTGGGACTTTCCCTCCTGGCACCCAGTGGAGCCTCCGACGGCCAGTCTACGGTCTCCGCCAGGCACCGCGTGAGTGGCACGACACACTGAGGACTACGCTTGCGGCTCTTGGGTTTGCTCCTTCTACTGCTGACCCGTCGCTGTTTCTTCGCACCGACACTTCCCTGCCGCCGTTCTACATCCTCGTGTACGTCGACGACTTGGTCTTTGCCACAGCGGACACTGCTGGACTCGCCTACGTGAAGTCCGAGCTGCTGAAGAGACACACGTGCACAGACCTGGGTGAACTGCGCAGCTACCTTGGCTTGCAGATCACTCGGGACAGAGCACGCCGCACCATTACCCTGACTCAGTCACACATGGTGCAGCAGGTCCTTCAGCGCTTCGGCTTCACGTACTCCTCGCCTCAGGCCACTCCTCTGCCTACTCGCCACTCACTCTCAGCTCTGCCTTCGGATGAGTCCGTAGAGTCGAGTGGTCCGTATGCAGAGCTTGTTGGCTGCCTCATGTACCTGATGACCTGCACTCGACCTGACCTTGCATACCCTCTGAGCATCCTTGCACGCTATGTTGCTCCTGGGAGACACCGACCAGAGCACATGGCTGCAGCGAAGAGGGTATTGCGCTACCTGTGCAGTACGTCGGGCATGGGGCTAGTGCTTGGAGGGCGGAGTCCAGTGGTCCTTACTGGGCACGCAGACGCTTCTTGGGCTGACGACCAGGCTACGCAGCGGTCGTCACAGGGTTACACCTTCAGCCTTGGTTCCGGCTCTGTCTCGTGGCGGTCTACTCGCTCGTCTTCGGTTCTCGGCTCCAGTTGTGAGGCTGAGATCTACGCCGGGGCCATGGCTGCACAGGAGCTTCGCTGGCTCACCTACCTGCTGACTGACCTTGGAGAGCTGCCTCGTTCTCCTCCAGTGCTGTACGTAGACAACAAGGCCATGTTGGCCTTGTGTCGAGAGCAGCGCTTGGAGCACAGAACGAAGCACATTGCTCTCCGCTACTTCCTTGCTCGTGAGCTGCAGCAGCGTGGTCAGTTGCGACTTGCTTACGTGGCCTCTGAGGCCAACACTGCTGATGTGTTCACCAAGGCACTTGCGCCTTGCGACCATCAGCGCTTTTGTACCCAGCTGGGTCTTGTACCTGTCTTGCCTCACTTGCTCTCTTCTTGACTTTACTTGTACTTTGACATATATATACCTGCTCTTGCTTGTCTAGTTTTATATATATGTCTTTACTCCTGCATGTGAACTGGCCTCTGGCCTTGCTCTTGTGCTCGGACTGTGTGGTGACTTTGTGATCCACCCTGAGCTTGTTTTGCTTTGCTTGACTGGTCTTGTGACCCCTTGTTCTCCCCCACTTTGCCTATGGGGGTGTGTCAGATTATTATAGCTGATGCATGTTTGTAGGCCATAGTGGGGTAGCACATATGGGGTACAGTTTGCTAGGGTTGTATTTGTACCCAACTCTGACTTAGTCAATTCATTCCTCTGCTCATAGTTTCACAGTACTATACCCCCATTTTTGGGGTGATTCTCTATAATACCCCCCTTTTCTTATAGATTCCTATTATAGCTGTTATCGAGTCCGATTCCTTACGGGAGGATATCACGAAAATCACTCCCTAGAAGAAATTTCGCATGTACTTTCACTTAGAATCAGCCGAGATATCCCCCCTCCCACAATCTCGTTGTCGCCACGCTGGTGAATCCTAAAATCTCGTTGTCGCCACGCTGGCAAATCTTCCACTGCAAGTGGTCCAAGAGGTGAAGTGGCCCAAGTGGCCCACAATATCATCGTACTCGGTTTTGTGGCATTGATCAACAATCTTGAAGTGAAGTCAGACCCCTGATTTTGTTTCACATCTTTTCTGCACCATACCGTATCATAAGACCCGGGTATTATATAGGATTTTCCTTTGAGGAGACCCCCCCCATTTTTTTCCAGTGGTTTTCATAATACGCTAGGGTGTTTTATCCGGGAGAATACGGTATGAGCCACAGAGTTCGTGACCCTCGAAGAGCCCGAAGGATCGAGTTCCTGATCCGCTGGAAAGACCGTACACCCACCGAAGACAACTGGGTTTCTCTGGACAGAATCGAAAACCACCCCGTCCTCACCGAGTATCTGCGCAGCAGAAACTTCAGGGATGTACACGCGCTTTCGTAAGGAGGACCTCCTTAGGACCTCCTTGGTGTAAGGAAAATTCCTTTTCCTTACTTCGCGGCCCCACTCAGCGCGTACACCATTGTAGCACCACAGTTAGCACCGTTACCACTCGCAACCATCGCATCGACAAATCCTCCCGCCACCTTCGCACGTCGCACCCCGACCTCGCGGCTCGGCGGGTAACCCGCGCTCCGGGCCTCTGCTTCGACAATTCCCCAAGCCTCAGTCCCAGGCCCGTCGCGCGACAACCACAGTTCATTACCGTTACCACTGCAGTTTCGCTATATATTTTTCGCTGATTGTACTCTTGCTTCAATAGTGCAATTCTCGCTCACTCAATTGCACTCATAATACAATGCCATATCATGCTAGAATGAGTGTAGATGCGGTTAAGTGGGCTAGAATTTTACAATAATAAGCAGATAATATATTATTGTGCAATAGGGACTTACATGACACCAGTGCACCATTTATTAAGAAAGCTACAGAACAGACCTTGTTTCCCAACTAGTTAACATAGACGTTACAGGGAGGAAAGGGTGGCGCCAGTAAGAAGCAGAAGCGAAGACCTGAGCATAACGCCAGTCTTTCGGGTTTGGGAAGGTCTGTACCCCAGATCGATTTCGGTACTAACGCATCACGGGACCGCTCTCTAACGCGGATGCACGCGAACGCCTGCTCAGACGGGAATCTTGGTGGCGCCAATCCACGATTGGAGCTGGATGAAGCTGTTCGGATTGTACTGGCTGACGGCACCACCTGATGTAACGCCGGGCTTGGCCCACTTGACACGAGAAGGCTTGGCGCCGGGTCCCTTGCTGTTGAACTCCGCCAGAAATGGCTTTCCGCCGTACGTCTCGCCGGCCCACGTCATCCAGCCGTCCGCAACAACTTTCTGCGGAGGGGGAGCGGGGGAGGACGGTAAGGGACAGGAGGATGGGGGAGGGGGGCGGAAGGTGGGGCGAAGCGCGAGGGAGATCGCAGGGAAGTGCGCATGGTTCACACCTTGGCACCTTCATGAAAAAACAGACGGCGGTACGGGAAAGGCTTGGACACGAAACCCATGCGCGTTATATTTTCCACGAGGGTAAGGCTTTATCAGACAGCGTCGGCGATGTTACGCATGGTAACCTGACGCCTGACTCTGTTACCCGACGGGTCAACTAAGTGTTGACGACGGACACCGCTCCGTCAGCGAGATTCTGACGAACCTGGTGTCGTGCTTACATTCGGGAGCCACGTGTTGATGAACACCGACGTCGCGTAGTCCTTCCACGGTCGCCCAAGGAAAACGCGCGGCGCGAACGACACCACGCGACTGTCCATGACGACAATCCCGGTGTTGGACGTTTTGCTCAGGCGACCCGACGCGGTGATTGTCGTGTCATACTGCGACGCCTGGACCTTCAATTGCGAATTGCGAATCACAACCGCCGCGTCGCCGAACACGAAATCCACAGCCCCGTCGATGAAACACTTCGTGTAGTACTGGCGACCCGTGCTGGCGAACAGGGTGTCTTGAAATCCCGAAATCCGGAGCTGGTAAAACGCGGCTTGATCGCTGTCGACACGGAGCGCCACGGCCTGCTGGCCTGCCATGCCAGCTGAGTTGCGAATCGTCATGCTCATCGCGACAAACCTATCCGCGTTGACTCCTGCCACGTGCATCATTTGCAAACAAAATTATCAGATCAGTAATTTGAGTTGCCAACATTTGAATTTCTGGATGATCGTAGCACTTACCGACTGTAGCCGAGGTGATAATATCGTAACCCCGGGTCTGGCTGGCGTCGTACACAATAACCGTCTGATCCATCCCAGCTCCAATCATCGTGATGCGATCCGTGCTGACCTGGATCTGCTCCTTGTACACTCCCGCCTTGATGCGGATCGTCGAACCTGGTCCAGCCGCGTCCACAGCGGCCTGAATCGACTTGTAATCTCCGCTGCCGTCTGCCGCCACAACCACGTTGATCATCTGAGTCGCCCCAACCTTGGCCTTCTTGCCCGATTTCGAACCCTTGCCCCCCGAATTTGAACCCGACGAGCTTTTGGGAGGGCTCTTCTTCGGCGGCGATTTCTTGTCCTTCTTGTTCCTGTCCTTCTTATCCTCGTCGTCGTCATCATCATCATCGTCATCAAGAGTCACCACAATATTCGAGCCGCCCTTTCCTTTTGCTGGTGCGGCTGGCGCGGCCTGGGTGACGGCGAGGCTGGCAGGTTCTGCAGCGAAGTGCAGGCGAGTTATGGCGTGAAGCTGCTGCTGGCGCCACGTGGCGAGCAGAGAGAGCAGCTGCTTGAACTTGGGGGTCATGGACGCGACGGTATCGCGTATGATAGAGAGTTGCTCGAATTGCTGCGTCTGAGGGTTTCTGTTGAGCACTAACAGCAGCGTCTGCTGGTTGGAGTACGCGCGATCAACGTTGCGAGTCGCGTCCTGAAGCTTTTGCGCGGATCGTGGGCGCGTGCGGTACATATCCATCAAATCCTTGATCGCCCAGACTAGGCTCTTGCTGATCAGCAGCGACTGATATACACAACAAGTCAGAGGGACAAGGGAAACAAGATGACTTGAGTCGACTCAAAAGTTCCATCGCCCAGAGCAGGCTCTTGGTAATCAGTTGCGTCTGAGATACACAAAAGGAGCAAGAGGGGTTGACAATACAAAGAATTAACCGCGGTTGGCGAGACGAGCCAATAACGACAACAGCTCAAGCACTGTATCTAGAGGCTAGTCTGGTTCTGAAACACCTCGATCCTGGATTGACCTTACCATCTTCATATCACATACAGCGAACGTGGAAATCCGTGAAAGACCCATGTGAGATCGCCTATTGCTTAACTAGGATGGGTTTAACATATCCATACTCGTTTTAAGAGATGCTTATCAAGGCGTACCTCGGTGAGGATGGAGCCGAGAACCGTCCAACACGCCCCCGTCGCGGTGATTTTTTAGGCGCCTCAGAAATCACCTTAATGCAGAGATTTTTTTCAAGGCGTACCTCCGTGAGGATGGAGCCGAGAACCGTCCAACCCGCCCCCGTCGTCGCCTGAGTTCGGATCGTCCCCGCATTCCCCAGCAGCGATTGCGCCAACTGGACCGCAACAGGCGTCGCGCCGCCGCCTAGCAAGTTTCGACGAAGCGAAAACTCATCGCCGACGATCGCAGGGGCGCTGGTGGTCGCAGAGGGGGTGAGGTCCAGGTCGACGGGCTCGCCTTGCAGAACAAAGGCGCAGACGGAGATGTTATGCACAGTAGCTGCTGCCGCTGCGTGCTCGCCAAAATCCTCACAGAGAATAAATCCGGTTTCTACTTGCGCATCGTCAGCGAATGCTACGGAAAATGCTAGGCAACACAGCAAAACGGACAGGCATACAGACGCGGAACGAGCGAACAACCTCATGGTGCTGGGAAAATGTTGAATACTCTTAGGCTAAAACACAAGGCAAGCAATGGTAGCGAACCAGTAAGACAGGCACGGGTCCCTAACAGCAGCTGGGTGTATACGCTAGCACCTAGCTATTTGAAGGCGTAACAGCAACAACCAGAATTTGAAGTAGCGTTTTGGTCGGTGAGTAGGGTCAACGGGGTGAGCTGTGGGATGCTGCTGTTTTTTTAGGTTGGGTGGGAGGGAGAGGTCGAAGCAAGCTTCAACCGCAAGCACGAGTTGTGCTGTGTAGCGTTCCACGTTCCACGTTTCGCAGTGGCTGGTGAGTCTCTGCTTTCGCGATATCGAAGAATTCCACTATGGTAACCGTGTTCGTCAGGCCAATTTGCCGCTGGCGACATTCGCCGGCAATAAGGGCCCGTCATCGTCAACAAGCTCAGAAATCTCAAGGGGTTGTGGAACAATTCGAGCCGCCAAGTGTGATCGATGCGCAAATGCACGAAATGCAAGCTCCATGAGAGCGATTCGAACACACGATCCGGTCAGAGCTCGTTCAGCGGCGCATCCAATGGGGTCGCGTGCTCGAAAGAAAGACCTATTTGATTGGTCGGAGGAATCGGCGACGTTGACGTTCGATCGCTAACACGTCTTTCACAAAGAACCACCCGAGCGTGTGTTATGGCTCATGCGGTCGCGATAGAAACGTGAGCGCTTCGAATTATCAAGGGCTTGCGCCTGAAGGCTAGCCACTAGCCAGCCACCCTGAATTGTAAGGGTTGAGATTGTGGGTGCTTCTAGACATATGTTTAATCTATTAGGCCCCTTGGCCTAAATCCGCTAATGAATAGCGGGGTCGACTAAGTCGAGGATAAAAACGCGGCGGAAGACTTTGGCTAAAAAACTATTGGCGAAAGAGGCGAAAAAAGTTACTAAGTAATTGAAGAGTTGAATGAGAATTGATTGATATGAGGAAACAGAAGCAAGGTTTATATAGCACGCAAGAGCAATTGTGGGAAAGTGGGTTGTGGGACTAAGAACTAGAAGGCAAAGAAAGTAGAGTGCCACGTGGCACTAGGAAATCTAGGAAGATAAGGATAAGGGTGAGTTGGAAAGTACTGTTGAAAGTGAACAGTAAATCCCCCCTTAACACTACCCCCCTCCCAAGGAGGCGACGTCCGCGGCGCCTGCAGACTAGAGGTACGCTTGGAGGCAAGCGTTGTCGGGAGACAGCGAGGACGAAGTAACCCAGCTGTCGTCTGCTGCGTCGTAACCACGCCAACGAACCAAGAAGTCGATGAAAGAGACACCCCCCTGGAGACTGCGACGGTTGTCAGTAGATCTGCACTGTGGATGCCCGATTGATCCTGGAGAGGGTTATAGGCGCGTTCGTCTGGGGGGTTATGGGCGCACTGACCCGCTTCTGAAACAAGCCCTTTTATCCCAATGGCCTAGTGGTTGGGAATCTGACATGGTATCAAAGCGGTCTCGGGTTCGATTCCCGGTGTATGCACATGTAGGCCGGTGCCACTGTGCTTAGTCCTGGGCCTCCCAGTGTGGGGAGGTGTCAGTAGATCTGCACTGTGGATGCCCGATTGATCCTGGAGAGGGTTACAGGCGCGTTCGCCTGGGGGGTTATGGGCGCACTGACCCGCTACTGAAACAAGCCCTTTTATCCCAATGGTCTAGTGGTTGGGATTCTGACAATGGTGCATGAGGATGCGCTGGATCTGATAGTCGGGCTCGTCGGTGTCAACAGCTACCGGCAGTGGAGTGCAGTCACGGCCCGAGAAGGTGGCGTTGGGATCAGTGTAAGGACGAAGAAGCGACACGTGGAATGACGAGTGCATGGGGAAATGAGCGGGAAGGCGGAGGCGGTATGCGACTGGACCAAGTGCACGCTCAATGACGAATGGACCAATGAAATGTGGACGAAGCTTGCTGTCCTGCGGCAGCCGGAGGTTGCGGCTATCCAAGAGAACACGGTCGCCGACTGAAAACGACACCTCACGACGACTACGGTTGGTGGTGCGTGCCATGCGTGCATTTGCGAGCTCAAGGTGCTTCATCACGTGATCAAGGATGAAGGTGAGATGCTGGTGGAAGTTGTCCGCACGAGGGACTGTGGGATTGAGATCGACACGAGTGGGGACATTGGGGTGCTGACCGTACAGTGCGAAGAACGGTGACATGCCGGTGGACGAGTGGTGCGTGTTGTTGTATGCGAACTCGGCCATGCTCAGCTTCTTGTCCCATGCGGCTGCGTCGTGCATCGTGATGCTGCGAAGAATCTGCTCCACAGTCTAGTTCACGTGCTCAGTCTGTCCGTCTGTCTCTGGATGGTACGCAGATGACATGGCTAAGCGAGTCCCAAACAGTGCGAAAAGCTGCTTCCAGAACTTTGATGTGAAACGAGGGTTGCGGTCGGAAATGATGGAATCTGGAACCCAGTGCAGTCGGACTGCGTAATCTACGAACAGCGTCGCGACTTCCTCAGCTGTGACCCTTCCGTCCGTGGGGATGAAGTGCGCTGCTCGAAAGAATTGAAGAGTACAAGTTCATCGTGTGCCTCGGAAAGAAGAAGTTGTCGAAGAGGACGGTAGGCGAGAACCCAAATCCGTGTTGTCCCCTTCCGAATGTAGACACTACCCTGCACCTCTGCTCGTGTGGGTGGCTGCGGTGCGAAGTCGGAATCTACTGTGTAACCGTGCTCGAAAAGTGTTGTCAGAAGTGGATGGCCGACAGTCACTGTGAGACTAGCGAGCTGGCAACTAGGGCGAGTGAGCGGGTTTGCTGGGTTGCGTATGCCTGGCTTGTACTCTATCCTTTAGTGAAAACTCCCCTCCATGAACTCCATCCACCTAGCCTGGCGACGACTCAGCTGCGGCTGCGATTTGAGGAAACGAAACGAGCAATGGTCCGTGCATATAACACTATCTGCCCCCTCTTGGTAGCACCTCCACACCTTATACGCATGGATGATCGCGAGCGCCTCTTTGTTGTGTATGGGATATTTCAACTCCGCTCCCCTAAGCTTACGCGACTCATACGCGATCGGCTGCAACCTGCGTCCCTGGTCATGAAGAAGCACTGCTCCTGTGGCCTGATCTGAAGCGTCGGTCACTACAACGTACAGGCGAGTAGGGTCGGGATACGTTAGTGTCGGTGAAGACATAAGCGATTGCTTCATCTGCTCAAACGCCTGCTGCTGCGCTGGACCCCAAAGAAACTCTACGCCTGTGAGAGTATGACGGCTTATGCCAGCTATGCTTGCTTGCCTTTACTTTATTATGCTATTTCTAGCATAGGATAATTATATGCATGCATGAATTGCTTGATTTCTTAGGCTAGGTGCTTTCCTACATTTTATTATAGTTATAGCACCGAGCTAGGTTGCGTGCACCGAATTCTGGCTTTTCGATTGCCACCAAATTGCCTCCTACCGAATTCGGGAAGGATCTGTTCGGGACGCTTCGCGACCCGCGGAACCTTTGCGTAACACCTGGTTACGGGGCCTTGTGTCGAGCCTATATATAGCCTCGTGTTGTACCCAGGTGATCATTCAATTCACATTCTCTTTTCGGAGCTCGATCCTAGATCCTCACACTTGGTAATCAGAGCCCGTTTACACGCAAAGTTCTTTCGACCACTACAAAGCAGTCTAAAAAAAAACCGCGGGGGCGACGTAGTTAAACATCGCTTTCGGGTATGTAAAACCGGTTCTGTGTTTTTCGCTCCCCCTCGATTCGGTTTTTCGGACGCGTTGATGTCAGGCATGGAAGGCCAAGGCGACAACTACGTGACCACGAGCGACATCGCGAGCCTCCGCACCGACATGGAGCAGACGCAGGCGACGCTTCATCGACTCGAGGCTTTTCTGACAAGCCAACCAGGGTTCGCCACCGCAGCAGCAGCGACCGCAGCGACTGCAGCACCGACAACTCCAGCAGCAGTGGCGACACCGACATTTCACGGACCGATGGCACCACCGTCGCCGAACCTCGAAGCAGCACGACCGAGGCTCCCTGAAGCGTTCGATCCAAGCGCAAAGGGATCCGACGTCCGGCGATTTGTGGCCACCCTCGAAATTTACTTCGAGGCCATTGGCTGTTCGACCCCGCAACACGACGCAACAAGGATTCGGCTCGCAGCAACACTGTTACGTGGACCGGCTCTCGAATGGATTTACTACACCGACGTAGCCCGCGGGGAGAAAACGTGGCAGCAGTTTCGGGCAGATTTAATCGAGCGTTTCGAACCAATTAATACGACCTATATGGCGCGGTAGCAGATACACCGACACAAGCAATACAGTAGTGTAGCACAGTACACGCAGCAGATGGAGTTACTGTTCAACCGCATTACCGACCTGACCGAAGGCGAAAAAATCCAGGCTTACACCGAAGGGATAAAAATAGAGATTCGGCGGTAGGTGATCGCGGCGAATTACAACAGCTACAGGGACATCGTACGTGCTGCCGAGCGATACGACGCGCTGACTCGAGGTCAACCCGAAACACAACGCTTCACGCCGAACCGTACATTCGACACGGAGCGATCGGCACCCCCCACGTTCGCCGAACCGATGGATATCGACAAATACGACGCGAAGCAGCAACCGACAAAATGCGAATTTTGCGGCGCAGCAGGGCATCAGTTTTTGTCGTGCTACAAAATGAAAAAAGCACGTGCGGCACTCCGGGACGGAAACAGTGGAGCACCCCCGAAGTCAAAAAACGGGAATCGCCAGTAGCCGCGGATCGACCTGGCGATCGTGTAAAGATCCGAAAAGCAGGAGAAGGCGACAACGTGGCGACTTCGGAGCGGGCGAAAAAAGGAGAAAATGATGGCGCGAATAAAAAACGTCACGACCGGCCGGCATCAGGGGAAATCGCCAAGGCAAATGGAGGCTCCGCGAAAAAAGACTCTGCACCGACCGGGAAACTCCAGCCGAACACCCACGAAAGTAAGAATTCGTTAAAAGTATCCTATAAAGATGCTCTAACGAAGAATATTAC